AACAGGTGTGGATTGCCTGTCTTCGGACTCTTGCGACCCGCTCTGAGGCGCCCTGGCTTCGTCTTCTTGAGGTAAGCTGGGCTGATCGCCCTCATCGTTGGTGGCCAAATGGTCTTTGAGGCTTTTTGAGGAAGAAGTTTGAGACTGAACCGTTTCATAATACTCCGGGATGTCATAAAGATCGTCATCGTGTTCTTCGGGCTTGATTACCACGCTGCTTTGGTCATCATCGTCGTCATCGTGGTATTCGTCATCATCGTCCTCCAGGGATGGGATGGGGACGTCAGGGTCGTAATGCATATAGTGGTGGGGGCTTGATTCAAGCTGCGAATCCTCCTCGAAAGAGTCGTCGACATAGCTCTCACTTTTACGAATGTCTCGGAGAATTGAATCCCGGGAGATACGCGGAGGAGAGAATACCTCCGTAGCCTCTTCATCGTGATCTTCTGCAGCTTCTCCTGGGTTTGAACTCTTCTCGTCGTCCTCAAAGTCGCTGATTAGGTCGTGTTCAGGTTCTGTGTCTGGTTTGGGCGCCTGGTGATCCGCATGGTCTGAGTCTTTGCTCTTCCGTTCGTTTTCCTGGATCATCATTAGACGTAGCCTGTCTTCCAAAGACATGGATGCACGAGCACGTTCAGTAATGTCCGACTTGCTGTACATGGCGGGGCCTGGAGGAGACGGCAGCACTCGCTGACCTCCACTTGCCAGCTCAAAGGCTGCAGACAGCTTTTGTGGGGATGAGCCGCGCTGGCTTAAAGACGGGCGATTGGTTGGAGGGAGCGGGGGCAAGGGGCGGCGTTCGCCATTGGAATCCAGCGACTCGACGCGAGCATGCTGGACAGGCGGACCTTGGTGGGTGGATGGCCGCGGATCGGGGCTGTGACTTTCATCGTCTTCCGTGAAAGGATCTTCCTCATCTTTCACCAAATCGTCGTTGGCGCTGGCGGGACTCATGTATCGCCAGTCTTCGGGCAGGACAACGGGGGTCTTCTCGAGATCTTCCAAGGAGGCATCGAAACTGTCATCACGGTCGAGGGAAGATTCGCGATCGAAACTGATATCCCCTTCATCCTCTTCTGAATCATAGCTGCCTTCACGGGAGCCAGAAGCGATGGAGGACGGATCAGGCGTGGTCATTTCGTACTCGTGCACCTGGGGCTGAGCGGCGTCGAAAGTTACACTTTTGGCATGGCGACTTCCATCAATGTCGGACCAAATCTCACTCTCGGGGTCAAATGAATCCTTGAACCCGAAGCGACTGGCTCGGGACAGGGAGGACTTCGCCGGAGGGACTTGGTCCTTGCTCGGAGAAGGGGGGCGGGGCCCGCTCGGGTTACTGTCGTGGGACTCTGCCTGTCGCGCAGGGGGTGCATTTGAGGCCTGCTTCTGTGGCGAGCGACTGGTGGCCAAGGGCCTCTGTGGAACATAGACATTGGTCGGATCGTACTCCTGGTTGTAATCGCGGAACATGTTGCTGTTCTTGACCCTCGAGGCGCGCTTGAGATTCTCGAGGGAGGGACGCTTGGATGGAGAAAACGAGGCGTCGGGGTCATAAGGACTCTGGTTCTCCGAGCTCTTGGGGAAGGGAGAGCCTGATTCACGGCCCTGCCAGAAGAGGCGCGGTGATGCGGGTGCTTCATACGCTGATGCTTCTTGGGACTTCATCTGGGGCGACATGGTCAGGTCCAGATGTCGGAAGATTAACAACAGCACGCGGAGCGACCTACTTTGGTACTCTGGTTCCAACTTGGAGAGTTTCGTCGTTGAGCCATGGGGCTTACTTCGGACAGCGGCCTTTGCGTGGTACTGCTGCCCATCTTGGTGGGAAATGCACGACAACAACTGGTGATTCAAAAGAGGCAAAAATAGCCAGTCGACAAGCGCGCCTGGAAGAAAACACAGCTGCAGGCAGCTGAATCAGCAATGGGTTCTTTCGTCACAACGCAGCAATGCAAGGTCTCTGCAATCATCGCCATCCCTTGCTGGACTGGAACGCGCCCATACCTGGTTGAGTCGAATGGAGGCGAAAGAGATGATGAGTCAATCGCAACGAGGCCGGTAGAAATAGTCCGAAACGAACCAGCGCAAATGAAGAACAGAACGCGGACAATAAATGAGTCGCTTGGGATTTAAAATTCACTCGGACGTTAAGCAGCAGCTCATGGGAATCGTAACAGTATGGGGAAAATGAGATGCGTCACAAAATGGCGATCATGCGAAAGAGAGCCGATTCGTCAGGTCTTTCTTTACTTTTGATAGGATACTACTGCGAAAGAATTGGTCCGACAAACGAAGGGATGCTGATCGTAGGCAGAACAGGGCAACCGAGATGGTGAAAATGGGCGATGTGCAACAATGACGGCACGCTGGACAGGATAGACAATTGCAAGTGAAGAAGACAAAACCAACACACCATCCACCACCGGACCAACGAGGATGAAGTAAAAACAAGGAGACGGGGGAGGGATGAAGGTGACGGGAAGAAGGAATAAACAGAGAAACCAGACCAAACAGTGTTGACTAGTTGACTAATAAGTAGTTCGAAGCCGTTCGCAAACCGGCTGAAGCTGGGAATCGCAGCTTGACGCTGTTGACATTTTGGCGTCGGGAGTCTCCATGGCAACTTCAACACCTGAGACTGCCTGAACCTGGCCTGAACTTGGCCTGAGCGCCTGTCTGGCCGGCCTCGACACCTCGACACCTCGTCGCCTGGCGGAATGCCCCGATCCCGCCAGTCCCCTTTGGGATTAGCGGGGGATCGTTCCTGTGCCCCGAGCGCCTTCCCTTTCGAGCCTGGCACGGGACCGGCTGCTGATTCTTTTTGGATTGAAGCTCCGGGAGGCAAAAGATAAATCTAGTGGAAGAAGATTCTTGTCGAGTGTTCACCCACGCTTTTCATCGCCGCCTCCCCCCCAATCCTCACCATGAATCGCCTGGGCAGACTGTCTCTGCCGCTACGGCCTCAAGTTTGTCTGCTCTGTCAGACGCAGGCGACCATGTCCTCTCCTCTCGCCGGATGGCAGGCCGTCCGCTCCATGGCAACCGTCCGACAGCGCCGGCAGGCCGCCCGCATGGTTCTGTCCTCCAATGTCGACAAATCCTCCCTGAAGCAAGGACGTTCGAAGAGAGATCGTGCCGGCCCCTGGTCCGGCATGAACCAGACGGAGGCGCGCCTTCGGGATGCGCCACGGTCAAGGTCTCGGGCAGCTCTCAAACGCTCGGGTGATTCCGAAGATGATAAGCAGAAGCCGGACAGTCCTCTCTACAAGGCGCTCAAGATGCAGACGGCATTGGCGCCCATTCCTTACGGTCGCCGAACCGCCATCAAGAACAAGATCGCAGAAGTTTCGAGTTTCGACCAGTTTCCTCTGCTACCGGTCGTGCGCCACTCGATCTCTTCCCAAGCTCTTCCCGGACTGGCGGACATTGTACCGACTCCCATTCAACGCCTTGCTATCCCACAACTCCTGAAAGACCCTATCCCGAAGAGAACATCTAAAGATGTCTCAGACCATGAACCGAATTTTGAACAGTACCTTCTGGCCGCCGAGACCGGGTCGGGAAAGACGCTCGCCTATCTGATTCCCTTGATCGACTCCCTGAAGCGTATGGAAGTGCAGGACAAGGAATTCGAGAAGTGGGAGGCAGAACAAAAAGCCAAGGAGCGGGAGGAGAAGCTCAAAAACCGGGCTTTCGACATTGAACCGGAAGAGGCTCCGTTGTCGGACGCAGGTAGACCGCGGGTCATTATCCTCGTCCCGACCTCCGAGTTGGTTGCCCAGGTTGGCGCCAAAGTCAAGGCTCTTTCGCACACGGTCAAGTACCGGTCGGGGATGATCTCGTCCAACCTGACCCCTCGTCGGATCAAGAGCATCCTCTTCAACCCGAGCGGGATTGATATTCTCGTCGCCACTCCCCACCTGCTTGCCTCGATCGCCAAGACGGATCCATATGTGCTGAGTCGCGTCAGCCACCTGGTGCTGGATGAGGCGGACTCGCTCATGGATCGGTCCTTCTTGCCTACAACGACTGAGATCATTGAAAAGTCAGCCTCTTCTCTTCACAAGCTCATCCTCTGCTCCGCCACCATTCCCCGCAGTCTCGACAACCTCCTCCGCAAGCGTTACCCCGACATCCGACGACTGACGACGCCAAACCTGCATGCTATCCCCCGTCGCGTCCAGCTCGGAGTGGTGGACATCCAACGGGACCCCTACCGTGGCAACCGCAGCCTGGCCTGCGCCGACGTGATCTGGTCCATCGGAAAGGCAGGCGACACAGAACCGACGCACCCCTTCCTGGCCCAGGCCGGACCCAAGGTCAAGAAGATCCTAGTCTTTGTCAACGAGCGTGAAGAAGCCGACGAGGTAGCCCAGTTCCTGCGCTCAAAGGGCATCGACGCCCAGTCCTTCTCCCGGGACTCCAGCAGCCGCAAGCAAGAAGAGCTGCTTGAAGAATTCACCGAGTCCCCGATCCCTCCCACCGCAGAGGAGATCATGCTGGCCAAGAACAAGCGCCGCCAGGACAACTCCATTCCCTTTGTCTTCCCCGAACAGCAGAACAAGCCGGGCGCGGAGCGCGGCCTCCCGAACACCAAGGTTCTCGTGACGACGGATATTGCCTCTCGCGGAATTGACACCATCGCCGTCAAGACGGTCATCCTCTACCACGTCCCACACAACACGATCGACTTCATCCACCGACTCGGCCGTCTCGGTCGCATGGGCAAGCGTGGCCGAGCCGTGGTCTTGGTCGGCAAGAAGGACCGCAAGGACGTGGTCAAGGAAGTGCGCGAGGGCATGTTCCGCGGCCAGGCCTTGATTTAGCGGCAGCAACGACAACAACCAGCACAACCTGTACTATTATTAACCCTACGGCCCAGTCAAATCATACTGACGAGCCTTTGACGACGGCGTTCGGAAACCGGCAACAAGGAAAGATAATATTTAGACTCCATGCATTGCATGCATTGACTTAAAGCATCACTCAGGATATATACGGCTGTATTTGATCGATTTGACCTCATGTATTATAATTTGTATATTTCTCCCCCAAACCACAACCACAACCACCACATCTCTACTTAGATCCTCTTTCTCATACCACACCTGTACGCTATAGACACCCATCATCTAAGTAGACAACTAGAAAATACTACTACTAGTTGTAAAAATCAAATAGGAATCTTCTTCCCAACAGATTTCCAAAACGCACACCGATCTTCCAACTCGCTCAGCCCCACATTCTCAAACCCCTCTGTGGCAATCACAAATTCCTCCGCTGTCTGCTGTACCTCCGGCACACCAGGTTCCGACCCATTCGTCAATTTATGTGCGTTGGGGTCCCCCGTCTGGAAGAAGCTGGCGAATGCGCCGGCGTAGCCGTCGTAGATCAAAGGGTCGGTTTGTTGGACTGTGGACACAGTGTCCCACTACACTCGCATGATTAGTATTAGTATCACTACGTAGTATGTAGATAGGGATATATATCTACATAGGAAAGGGAAAAGACAACATACCCATTCAGTATCACTTCCATGTCTCGCCGGCGGAATAGTATACTCCCCAACATACCCCTTCTTGCCCGCCGCAGAAGCAACCCAGTACGCCGGGCACGCGAGCACCACATCCCTGTAAACAAGTCCCGCGCGGACGAACGTCGTATTATAGGATAGTGTTTCTGCTGTTCCAGAAACAGGGTAGTATTTCGATTCGATGAGATCGATGTCTTTAGTATCAAGACCGGGAAGGAAGCCGGTTAGCCAGTTATGGAAGGACGCGAGAGAGGAGTTGAAGCCGTTTGTTGTGGTGGTATCTTCTAGTCCGGGGGGGATGAAGTTCTCGCCTTCGTGAGCGTTATACATGCCCCAGATTAGATCAGTTTTGAGGGTGTTGGAGGCGGTAGCAGAGGTGAGGGGTTCGATGAGGAAGGTTCCGTCGATGACGGGGGCCCAGGTATAAGATGAGGTGGTGTAGGTGCTGTCCGCGTCAATGATGAGGCTTGCGTCGCGGATGGATTGGACGTCGACCTCTTTAAGGCATTTGAGGGTATCGGAGGCTGTGGTGCAGTTCGTTAGGTTTACCAGCTGGGTGTAGATGGCTTCCGCTTGAGGGGCGTTGTAGGTGTAGGTTTTTGGCCAGAAGGGCGAGCTGGCGAGGGCTTTGGAGAAGAGTTTTGGGTTGGAGCCGCGGCCATTGGCGAGGATTTGGGCGACGACGGAGCCTCCGCCGGCGGATTGGCCCCAGATGGTGACATTGTTGGGGTTGCCGCCGAAGTGGTGGATGTGGGAGTTAACCCATTTCAGGGCGTACTGTTGGTCGAGGAGGCCCGGGTTGAGGTCGGAGGTGGGCGAGTCTTTGATGGCTTGGCCGGGGAGGAAGCCGAAGGCGTTGACGCGGTAGTTGGTATAGACGACGATGTAGTCGTTTAGGGTGCTGACGTTGAGGACGGGGTAGGCGTTGGGGGGCATGCCGAAGAGGGCGTCGCCTTCAATGAAACCGCCGCCGTAGAAGACGACTAGGACAGGGCGGCTGGTGGTGGACGAGGAGGTGTCCCAGGGCCGGGAGTAGAGACCTAAGTAGAGGCAGTCTTCGGAGCCGTTGACGGTGCGTTGAGGGCACATGTCGAAGGATTGGTCGGTGTCGTAGGTGCCATTGGTGATGTTTAACGGGGGTTGGGGCGCTCGGAAGCGGTTCTCGCCTGTGGCGGGTGCTGCAAAGGGGATTTTGCGAAAGTAGGAGAGGTTGTAGCTGGCATCATAGCTGCCCTGGAAGGTGCCATAGTCTAGAGTGACGAGGGGCGCATCGTAGGCGCTGGTGAGGGAGAATGTTAGCAGGAAGCACAAGGCCAGGAGGCGTGAAAAGTCCATGGCTGCAGGTGGTGGTTGTATCCCTGGTGGATCTGGCTGGGGAGAGCTGCGCCGAAAGCAGCAGCGTTTTATAGGGTATCATGGTTGCGATAGTACAGTGAGGTCGGTATGAAGCAGACCGAAGTTCATTAAGACTCAATATCGGAGTTCCTGGAATACCTGCACGAGCACATCATGAGGACAAGAAATCTCTGGGGATCAAAGCGCCGACAGGGCTGCCATTGGTGCAATTATTCTCCTCCACAATGCAGCATGACGGAGATGCGGAGATGCGGCACCAGCAATTTGCGGGGGGAAGGATGAGAGAGAGAGGGACAAGATTCTTCAAGCAATGCCCGTCAGCCGACGGGTGAAAATCAATTAATTCCAAGGCCCAGGGTTGGGGATAAAGTCGTGTAAGTACAGAAGTGTACCAGGGGCTGGGAAACGAGCAATAATCTATACAGGGTAACCAAATGCGAGATCATTAGACTGCGCAAAGCCAAAGTCAGACCAGATGAACGAGAAGCAAGATCATTCAAACGTCCTAGAAGCCTTTCAGAATCGCCGGGCTCATGGCAACGCTCGTGCCCATCGTGATTCAAACGCCTATTCTTCCAAACCGGACTCCGCCGGACTCCAAATAACAAGCAAACTCCAGAAATTAATACTCCCAAAATCGATCCATATCCATCATTACATAGTCATCCGAAGGGACCGAGTTCGTCGTCGGCTGGCGCGCGTGTTGCGTCGGTCCTCGCCGGCTTCACTGTCCTCAGTATCTGCGTGAGGCTCGGACAGCTCGGGCGTCGGGGTTATTCCAAAACTGACACCGCGGTCCTTGCGCGAAATGAGCGCTTCTTCCTCGGGGTACAAGAACCGGTGCACAGTGCGGTGGTCCATCACGCGTTCCTCGTCGTCCGCAGGGCCTTCTCTGTCGGTTTTCGGCCATTGGAATCCATACAGCTTGGAGTGCCGTTCGCACCGAGGACACTCCCGTCGCGTTAGGTAAGAATCTTGCTGGACAAACCAAGCGTTGCAAGTACGGCAATCCACCCAGCGGTCGTATGCCTGTGCTAGAAGTTTCGAGGTTTTGGTGTAGTCGCCAGGAACACGAGCACGGGGTGGCTCAACCTCGACTGAAGGAACGACTTCTTTGCTGCGGGATTTTCGGGATTTTTTCACCACCGTACCGAGCTTCTCGTCCAGCTCCAGTGAGTCCGACAAGTCCGACAAGGCATCATTGTCCACACCCAGGATACGTCGTTCTGGATCGGCTGAGCCAGTGGAGAGATCCAGGCGTCCCTCGACAGTCAAAATTGGTGCCTGCACGGTAGTCTCGGTAACTTCCTCGATCTTGATTTGCACCGGGTTGTCACAAACGGACGTCGCGGCTGTTGAAGTTGACGAGCGGTGGGAATCGTCCAGCGAACCGGGTGAATCGGGATCAGCAGTGGTAGTGGTGGTGCTCTGCACGGTCGATTCGGTATGGATGTCACTCTTATTGTCGATGACGTGGTCACTGGCAGTTTCGGCTGCGGCAGCGTGTGGCACGGATAAAGCTTGAGAGGAAAGCCCGGTGCCTGCTGGCTGGACCGTGGAAGACTCGATCGAGGGTGTAAGATCGGAAAACACCACCTCGGATCTCAACTTGGAGCTTTGGCGAGTAAACTTGGTTCGTTTGCGAGGAGTTGACGAGGGTGAGCTTTCTGAATCGGTGTCGGGGGCGTGCTTGCGTTTCTTGGGCGAAAGGAGAGCCTCAGAGGGCGCAGGCTCGTCGTAAGCTGGCGTGGATGCGGGACTCTCTTGGTCGGAATCGAGCTGCGGTGCCCAGCCATTGCGGACGGCCCGTTCGCAGGTCAAACAAAGACACTCGCAATTGTCAATGCCAAAGTAATCCTCGCCGTAGGAGACGGTGATTTCCTCTCCGATATGAATGTTGCGGATGGCCACGACTTGCATGCCTTCCATGCCGCGCGTCACCAGTCGTCCGTTGGCGTTGCAATCGTGATTGGCGAACCGAGCGGGACCCAGAAAGAAAGAGGGGGTTTTTCTCCGACTCGACATGACAATGCTGAAATCTTTTCTCTTCAGATCCAGATCCTGCTCCTCTTCCTTGGTCATGGGTACGAGGGTCCCGCTGAGGTATTTGATCTCCTGACCCTGCTTGATGAATTTGCGGGCGCAGATGGCGGCCTCATGCTCGGTCACCGTGTAGCGATTGGTCGTAGTCACCTCAAAGGGGGAGTCGGGGAGATACATCTGAATGTATTTGCGGAGATGGCGGCGAAACCATTCCTTCTCCCGGTCAGTAGGCAGCTTAGCCAAGTACTTCTTGAGACCTGGCATGCTCAATAGCTTCGCTTCCGCTTTGGCAGCGTCTTTGTTGACAATGACATCGTGGAGGAGAGTGCTAGCCACATCATCATCTTTGATGCCGCGGGCGGGGTTGTATTTGGTGCGATTCTTGCGAGTGTTGGTCCAAAAGTACGCCTGCGAGGATAGTATAGTCAGCGACCAGCTGCATGATGGCCAATCGAGGCTCATAAACGTACACGGTCAACCAGCGCATCTGTTGCGACGTCGTCGTAGCTGGCCAATTTCGCGAGCGTAAGCCGATCCCGACGGTCATCGGAGGGGCTAGATTTTGCCTTGGAGACCGGCATCGTGAAGTTTCAACCCAGACGATCCCATGCAAGAAGATTTGAGCGGGCGATAAGAGTGTGGGTGGGATTAATGGTAGGAATGAGGCGTCAAAGCGTCAAGGGGAAGAAACAGCGGAAGGTCGGGAAGCAGAGAGACTACTAGAAATATATATGGGCGCCAAACTTGAGGGGGAAAAGGAGCGGGATTTGAGAAGGGAAAATTTAGGGAACGACGTGAATACGAAGAGGAGTGACTGGCATGATGAACAAAGGAAACGAAGGAGAGGCAGTGAAGGTGTTAGCGCGCATGAAAGGACAGACTCGCAGACTGACATGATAATAATTAATGTGAAGGCTGGCGCTGCTGCTGCAGTGCCCCCGTCCGGGGTCGGTCGTCGGCGAAACCTGCCGGCCCGCCAAACTGCCTGGCGCTGCTTTTCTTTCGGCCATCCCCATCTCTCTCTATACTCCCCTCACTCCCACTACGTTTATCACTCCGGACAGGGTACACAGTCAAGATGATTCAATTAAAGGTGTGTGGGCGATTCTACTGGTGTTCATGATGCGGGGGAAAGGAATTTTTATCGGACTGACAAGCCCCGATCCAGACAATGCTTAACTGCATCGACAACTCCGGCGCCGCCGTTGTCGAGTGCGTGAATGTCCTGAAGAAGAAGCGCCCCGCCACCGTTGGTACGATAACCCGCTCTTTTTCATTCACTATTCAAAGGAATAATACTGATGTTGGGGTTCCGGGATGAACAGGTGACCGCATCGTGGTCGTGGTCCAGAAGCAACGAAATTTCGGCCCCGACAGCAGCAACAACGTCGGTATCGCAAACAAGGTTCGCCGAGGAGACATTCGCCATGCCGTCGTCGTCCGCGCGGCCAAGGAAATGCAGCGCCCGGATGGTTCAATCGTCAAGTTCGATGATAACGCCTGTGTTCTCGTCAACAAGTCCGGAGACCCCATCGGAACAAGAATGAACGGTCAGTCTAGGCGTGCAGACTACGGCATCACATGGAAAGGATTGGAACGTCTTTACTGACATATACTAGGTGTCGTGGCTACGGAACTACGAGGACGACAGTGGTCGAAGATCCTGTCGTTGGCGCCGATGCATGTGTAGGATATACCATTTTTGGAAGCGAATTGTTCTTATATTTATCCCGTTTGTAGCAATAGAAATTTCTTTCTCTCTTCAAACTCCCCTTTTCTTTGCCCAAACATCGCCAGAACTCCACAAAAATGCTGCTTAACGGAACAAAAACCAAGATCGGGTATCAGGTACATGACATGTGTTATGGCAAATCGAGAATTAGACGAAAACATTGCCGCACGCGCAACAGACGTAGTAAAGTTTCTGGAAAGTAAGCGTCAGCCGATCCCTTCATGGATGCGGTGTAAACCGGCATGAAGGCTTACCATTCCCGTTTCAGCGGAACGCTGTTGCGACTGGAAGAAGACTGCTTCGGCTTCGCCGCAGCTCGGGCAGAGCTTGTTGGAACGAGGAAGCTAGGGAAAGAGTGGGTTAGCCACGGAAATTTCAAGACAACTTGGAATGTATCCATGACGCGAGCGCGGCGCTCGCAGGACCTCATGACGACGAAAAGCCATCATAATCCTCTTCGGACCAGGAGTCCTCGGAGGATGTGTCACAGACGAAGCAGGTAATCTCTTCCCCACAATGATCACAGAAACCCGGGAGACAAACCGTAGGATCAGATCCCACATCCTGGGTCACACCGGCGGTATCTCCGACTTGAGTGTTGAGTTTGTTTTGATAGACACAGTAGGAGGTGGCGGGCTCGCCGACATGGCAGGTTCGGCAGGTGAACATCAACCGGTTGTTGATGCGGTCTTCCTTCGGGTAGAGCAAGTTGGAACTGTAGACGTTAGCAGAAGGTCCGACCAAAGTGTAGAGATCAAAACTTACCATTCACGACAGAATCGGAAGTGAATTTGATCGGTGGGCTTGCTATCGCCACCGGCAGAGGGGGATGGGCTGGCAGACATTTTCGGAGGTCGGAGGTCGAAGGTGTATTACTGATGAAGTGTGCCGAAAAGAAATAGGTTCACGCGTATTAATATGTAGCGAGTGTGTTATATCCGCTCGAAAGCTTCAACTTGGAACAGATAGAAACGAAAGACGCGAAGAGTGGCTGATGGGAATAGCGAGATGGCCGGGGGATCATCAATGGAAGTCGGAAGAAGCGTTGACCCAAGCACCACCGGCTAGTTCCATGACTTGCAGCTCACCGCCCCGTGGATGTTTACAGTGTTTGCCGTCATCCCTCCCCCGCAGTTTGTCCCGCAGCTGCAAGTACCAGCAAAGCCTCTCCGATTCCTGCAACTTTATATAACTCCACTAGTCCCCCCCGCGTCATTTCTGGATCCTTGTCTTCCTTGTGAAGCTATAGACTCCTCCGCAGGCTTTAGAAATACACACATCTTTTTCCACAACATGGTACGCCGATACTCAACCCCACCATACAACATCATGTTTACCAAACTTGGTATCGTGCTGACTATAAACACTTCAGGTAGAGACAGGTCTTCCGGCAGGATGGGAGGTTCGCCACTCCAACTCTAAGAACCTTCCCTACTACTTCAACCCTATGACAAAAGAGTCTCGCTGGGAGCCGCCGGCCGACACAGATACCGAGAAGCTCAAGTTCTATATGGCCAACTACCACAGCGGACCCGCAGGACGTTCTGACGGAAACGGTCACAATGAGGGCAAGATCCGCTGTAGCCATCTTCTCGTCAAGCACCGGGAAAGTAGGCGGCCTAGCAGCTGGAGGGAAGCCGAAATCACCCGTTCGAAAGAGGAGGCCATCGAGATCCTCCGCGGCCACGAGGCGCGCATCAATGCGGGAGAAGCCAGTCTGGGTGACATTGCTGTATCGGAGTCAGACTGCAGCAGTGCCAGGAAACGTGGAGATTTGTACGTATCCAATAATACCGCTGCAGGTACTTGGCTAACCTACGTTAGGGGTTTCTTTGGACGGAATGAGATGCAGAAAGAGTTTGAGGACGCCGCCTTTGCACTCCAGCCCGGTCAGGTCAGTGGGATTGTGGAGACGGCCTCTGGTGTCCATTTGATTGAACGGTATGTACTCTGAGGTTGATGTCTGCTATGGGGCTATTTTTGAGCATTGCTGACGTATTGGATTGCAGGGTTCAGTAAATTTCTATGAATGGCATATATACTACGTGTATTTACTTGGATGAGATCTCTATATCTTTCTACATGAGTTCTCCTTCGCAAATTGTCATTCAATGTAGATCTGTAGTCTTGATCATTAGATCCAGCGTATCTTTCAGTCGTTGTATATTGTGCGGCGGCTTTAAAGGACGGTCACTGTATGGTGCAGACTGTTGCTACTGACTTGGATGCTATGGGAGGGATGAAAGTGTGGCTTGCAGATAAAAGGCACCTTACATAAATGCTCCTAAAGCCTTGATTACCATTCGGTTTGTTCGATCTGTAAGTACCTGCCCATTGCCATTTGATGTGGCACCGTAATGATACCGTGCTGACCTTCGTCCTACTGTATAGGCGTACCCGGCCATCTACAACTAGATTCTATATTACATCTGGATATTGAGTTTTCAGAGCAAGTTTGATCCGTCGGCGAATTTAACCTTAATGATCAATCAGATCAAGTTATCAGTCTCCTCTACGTCGTCAGCACAAGAACGGAAAGCAAAGACCTAATTCTGTCGTACCTGTCTGCTGAGGTGACACCAATGGCCGTTGCTCGCTGTTTCTCGGACCTCCAGGTTTCTCAAAGCTTCTCGTCGATCACACTGTCTTGAGATATCACCATCTGCAGCTACGTCGCTTCTTCTCCTGCTTTGACTATCCTGACTACCAGCCGTGTCCCAGCAACTATGAGAAGGAGGATGGAGCGGCAAAAAGTCGTAATATCATTCCATTCACCTCGAGAGATTTCCATCCTTTCCCGACTAGGCAGATGGAGGCGGTGATGGAGGCACCAGCTCTCGCCGTGGCTCTACACACGTGCAGTCAGTCCTCTTGCCGTGCCTCCATCTGACCCTCTCCATTTCTCATTGCTCAAACTCCTCACATTTCATCTCAGAACGGGAAATACTCTCAGACCCAACAACTCTCAGACCCAACAAACAAGCCCCCGCCCCAGCCTGAGCATACCAATATTCCTTTCTCGGCCGAGCCAGACACTTTCGACCAGCATCTGATCCAGCTTGGCGTGCTGCCAGTTTCACCTCATCGCCTCATGGCCGCCCTGGCCCAAGACGGCCTGAATATTAAAAGCCTCTCCGTTCCCTCACACCTTTCTGAGTCCGTACCTCAGGAGACATTTACGTGGTATCGAAACTTCGCTTCGAGGCCTATAGGGCCATCTGGATCATGCGTTACTGTGACTTCTGGTACCGAAAAAGATTTGAATTCTTGTGTCCAGCCCAGGAGAACATATACATCCAGCACAAGTGATGTGTGCAACTCCTTGGGTGGGATGACTTCAACACACCCATCCGAGCCTCACCTTCTCCGGCGGGCCCGAAATTGCCTCAAGATTTGATTTTTTTTGCGAACGGACCGGAGTACGTATGCAACCTACTTCCAATTGCACCATACGATGGTGTGGAATACTCGCCTTGGGGTTTACCACGCCAGATACTACCGCTACCTCGATGTAGTGAAGCATATCCTTGGAAGATATCCCTTACCATCGGGTGTCTCCGAGAAGCTAGATACCTGGTGGCAAGGGGAATTCTTAGCCGAGATGAAGAAGTGGGTTGATGAACCGCGAAAACTCCTCTTTGCTCCTTCGTACGATGCCGCTGTGAACGAACTGGCTACGCTTATTACGGAAAAAGTTGAAGATGGCATGCAAATGGCACAGGATTTCAGTGCCTTCGCAAAAGGTCCGGATCGCTCTGAGTTCTTCAACACTAGACATCCAGCTGCACAACCAGCTACTCAACCAGCTCCTCAGCCAGCTCCTCAGCCAGCTACACATCCAGCTACACATCCAGGTGCGTGAAGTATGGTGCTAGATGAGACTATGCAGTTCTTGGTTGTTCATGACTTGGTTCACGGCTGTCATGACTGATGTCGGAATGAGAACATGCATAAACGGCTTGGGAGATAGCTTTTGTTGGAAATTTCGGCTATTGCTTTAATCAAGTGTGGACATATCCATACATTGCTTTCAATAGAAAAAGAATCTCAGATTTACAATACATTCACTCTAGCGTTGTCTGGGTTTTAGTCGGAAAGACCCAGAAAATTGCCCGTTATATTCAGACAGTTCCCATACCGACACTACCAAACGACACCACCTGCCGTTTATACCACATCCCACAACAAGAAAGAGACCAGACTTTCTTCGCTCTCTAATTTTCTTTGAATACTTAAAAACACTTATCGTCATCTTCTCTGATCACTCAAGTTCATCCACGTGCATTAATTCACTACTACTCTTCATCCTTCACGTGAGCAGTGAACCCTACTGCCTGAACAAGAGGTAAGTATCATCCATCCAAGATACCTTCATAAGAGCATCTATATAATTCTTGCACCTGGTTTCTATTGTCTACCACCGTCTAAACGACTACCATCCATCTATCGCTACCTCTTTCCATCAAACAATACTTCCACCAATTTGCTACCCGCAACTAGAAATATATTTCTCCACCACCACATCATCAATCCCACCCCCAACCTACCCACTGCACACAATCCATGCCAATTCATACAGTACTAACAGCCTTCACCAGTACCGTACACAGACCTCCCCAATCCACCTCAAACATACCCTCAACTCAAACATCGAAAATGTGCTTAACCCTAACAACCAAACACCCCCTCTGCGGCTGCCTCACCACCACAACATTCACACCCTGCCGCCTGGTACCCTGGAACCGCTGCCTCCGCCGCGAGATGATAATAGTAGAGGGGACCCGTCGACAAGGTAATCTTCTCTGCGAAGTATGCAGCAGTAGTGGGAGATATTCCGCACGACGAATAAGCAGGCTATACACACTGATGGCATGCCTTGAGGGACTTGACTCGGGTATTGAGTTTGATTGTTTGGATGTAGAGGATGATCAGCATGACGAGGACAATGGCGTTGAAGATGTCGGGTTCGGGTATCATGGTGGGGTGGATGTGGGTGTGGATGTGGAGGGGGGGTTCGAGGATATTGATGATGATGATGATGGTTGTTTGGGTGATGAGACTGCTAGTGTTGGGAGTGAAGGTGTTTGGTATGAAGATGGAGAAGGAGTAGAAGGGGATGGGGATGAGGAGGAAGAATATATAGAGGAGGAGGAAGAATCAGAGGAAGAAGAACTGGTGGTGCTCCGGTGTGACCTGAGTAGAGTTTGTGATTCGATTGCCTCGTCGCGCGTTTGTCATGGCACTGGGTTGGTGAGGAGGGAGAAGAGACGGTTTGGAAGAGGGAGGGTACGGGGGCCTAGGAGGAGGAATACGGCTGATGAGGAGGCTATGGAGATGGATATGGCTATGGCGAGGGCGAGGGTGGAGGATGAGAGGATCTCTATTTCTACGTTCTCATCGACATGATGTGTGTGATGTGGATAGAGATTGAGCATGATTTCATTCGTGGTATTTCTAGTCAAACCAAGTCAAGTCATCCTATGCAGCTACTAATTTATCAATTATAACGCTGTGTTGAGCCGTTCAAGACGAGATGTGATGTTGTCGATGATAGCCGATCTACAGTGTGTCTCATTAGTATAAACCCTTCACGTATGACAAATCAAAGGAAGACGTACTCTCGTTCCACCATCAGCATAGCATCCGTAATCTTTTGCTTTTGCAGTCGCGCCGAAACCGAAACACGAGGTTGAGCACCACCCGGAGACGCTGGACTGCCCGGTTCAGCGGGGATGGGCGACTTGACTGCGAGTGTCTTGGCCTCGCTGAGGAGATCGCCGGCAATCTCCTTAACCTGCACCATTATTAATATCATGATTGCTATACTTTTTGGGATGACACTTACAGCAGCGAGTCGTTGTGTAAGGTCGCCCTCGCCCTCTGTTTGATCCACTGACTCCGACAAGGTCTCAACTTCAGTAACCCACGACTTCTCCTTATCGCTGAGTGGCCGGCCACCGGATTTCAGGACCTTGTTGCGCAATGCTTCGTAGCGCTGCACCAGCTGTGCCTGCTTATCCTTCGCTGCCTGCAGTCGCTTGTCCAGTGCTTCTCCGTTGCGTGACCCCTCCATCCGTTTGCCATCCTCACCGATTTCGCTGGACACGCCCTTGACTCGGTCAGCCACGTCGGCGAGCTGCTTCAGCTGGTCACGCATCTCGCCCTGCAGACGCTCACAGCGACGGAAAAGATCTGAGGCAGCGCGCTCGAGGGCGTTGGTGTGGGCAGACAGGATCCGGTGCGCAGCTGCAACCAGGTCCAGCGTGGCAGGGGACAGCCGAACTTGCTCCTTCAAGGCCTGGCGTTGACGGTGCGGGACGTGTTTGTCGATGAAGAATTCCAGGGAGTGCTCCGCGTAGAAGATGGCGGGGACTTGGTAGGGAGGCCGACGAGGGGGCAGGATGGGCGACCCCGGGACTTGGTCCTCCGAGTCGAAGATGTGCAGATCGGCGATGGAGGGAAGGACCTCTGGTGCGTCCAAGATGGCAGCGTGAGGAGTGGAAGAGTGGGAGGTTAGTAGTAAGTAGCCCAAGTCGTAATCGTAGTACACCAATGCGGCTGGCAGGTGGCCCGTCAGGTCTTTTGCGCTTGCGGCATTGCCATCAACCTCGAGAATGCGCTCTCTCAAGGACGCCGTGCCTTCGCAAAGGACCTGCAGGCGGAAAGAGCTGCCCGCGGTGTCCTCTGACTGCAGCTCGGCCTCGAGTCTCTGAACCCAGGAAGTGAGAGAGATGTAGGTGACGTTGTTGGTGTTCGTCACGAAGAAGCTGTACCGCGAGTAGGCATCCTTCGTGAAAGTAGGCCAGTTGTTGGACGAGTCACGCTCCTCTCTCATCGTGTCCAAAGACTCCACGAGCAGGAGATCGGATGGTTCGGAGACAGGCGTGCTGAAGACGTTCTTCTTCGCCTTGGGGAGCCACTGTCCTTCAACGCCATCAAGCTCGAGACAGACATGAATCCTACCACTTCCAGTCGAAAGGCAGATGACTGTGGCGGACAGGCGGTCATCTCCGCTCTCTTCCAAGGCGCGCACCTCCTCGCCCATCATGAGCGCATCGAGATCGACCTTGGCGCCGATAACCAGGATATCGCAGAGGTCCAGGTCATCAATTTCATCTCCCGTATCAAACCGGAACGGCCCCTGTAACCTAGGGATCGCGCTGGGATTGGCTGGGCGCGTCAAGACGTCCGACCCAGAACCCGTATCCGCATCAAACTCCGTATGTAGAGGGTCCTGGTTATCAATTTCGGCCAGCCAGTCGTACTGCTGCCGGCATGCAGTCAGTTCATCCTCATACTCGGCCGGGTCCTCCTCCAAAGAAGCCAGCTTCGGAACAATAGCCGCAGTCAACGAAGGGATGGTTGTTGACGGCGCGCGCCACTTGGAGGGCAACAACGGACACAGAGCGTAGAGGTCGCCCGGTCTCATTGCTACCCATAGGGTCATGGGCGCCCATGCGTCCTCCCGTTCATTTCCGCTGCCACCGAAGCAAGCAGATGCAACCTCCATATCGATAAAATCAGCTGAGAATCCCTTGTTCTTGCCGAATCCCGACGGCGCAAAGTCCTGGTCCGATGAGGTTCCGTCCACCAGCTTCCTCAAATCGACAGCCAAAGTCGGACGGTCAAATGACCAGTGGTTATTCCGATCCAACTCCCACACTCGAACTGCAGCATCTGCCGTAATAGTCACGAAACAGCCCCCGAGGTTGGTGTGGACACCCAATGGATGCCATAGCGCCGACACCACAGGCGACTCGGGAATGACGTGGGTGGTCGGGCCAAGCTGGTACGATTTCACGCGGATGGGGGAGCTGTCTGTTCCAGACAGATGAGAAGGATCCGGTAGCACGGCGATGAAGACGGTGCGATCGGCAACAATGGCTAGGAATGCGCCATTTGGCGAGGGGATCAATTGACGGATTTTCTCGAATACAGGAACATTCAGAGTCTAAGCAGCATCAGTTTAGCTTCAGACCGAACAATAAAGCACTGTAATCCTTGTCCTACCCTGTACTGCACGCTGCGGTCCTCAGACGGCTGCTTGTCATTCGACCTGGAGTTGTGCTGCCATTCATCCTTCAGTCTGGTCAGGCTGGACCAGCGAATCTGGTTATCCACAACGGTGAACAGCTCATTTCCCCGCTTCGCCTGAATGCGCGTAGGTCCCGAATAGACGACTTCCTTCGTCCCGGGCGTATATTCTGGTGATTTGGAGCCGGAGCTGGCAAAGATGGAGGCGCCGGGCGCCGGGCGCGAGAGCCACGGCGGAGTGAAGCTGATGACTTTCGGCATGATCGAGGGTGTTTCTTATGGCAAACAAGTTGAGATTGAGAAACCTTACAATCTCATCCTGCACCTGAGGCCAAATGCGAAGGGAAGGGAAGATGCCGGAAAGCACGACGGAGTGAGAAAAGGCAATAAACAGCTCCCGTCGGGGAAATTTTGGGCGGAAGCTGAAGCTGGATTGAAGAAGGGCGGCGCGCCAAGAAGCAAGACTCCCGTTGGTTGCTTCAGCTTCCCGACCTGATCGGATCTTCTTTGCAGACTCACTTCCTCTCATTGTTTGGCGAACTCCGCTCACATTGCTTCCCGGCGTTTAAACCTTTTTTTCTTTATTCAACCCTTGCTTGTCTAACGCCGAGCACTATGAGCACCCTCGTTCACAACACCGTCGAACGCCTGGACCGGCCGAGTGCCTACTATCTGGGCAAGGTGAGCTTCATCTCTACGACTAGCGGACCATGACAATACTAATTCATTAATCCTCTCCAGAACAAGCGTCGCAAGTTCAGCCATGATGAGGGCGAGAAACCCGAAGATCCCACCGACAACCTCAAGGATGCCACCACTCTCTACGTTGGCAATCTGTATGTTACAGAGTATCTCCGTTGTCAAGTCCTTGCTAACAACACAGTTCTTTCTACACCACCGAAGAGCAGATCCATGAGCTATTTGCCAAGTGAGCGGAAACCACCACCGAATGCGCTATTGACGAGTACTGAGCTGATGGAGTACAGGTGCGGCGAGATTAAGCGGCTAGTTATGGGTCTTGATCGGTACAACAAGACCCCTTGCGGATTTTGCTTCGTCGAGTATTACACCCACCAGGATGCGCTGGACTGTCTGAAATACATTGGTGGCACAAAGCTGGACGAGAGAATCATCCGAACGGATCTGGATCCTGGCTTCGAGGAGGGTCGGCAATACGGGTATGTATATGATCGGGATTCTCGAACGCGCAGGCTGCTGACGTTGGTAGACGTGGTAAATCGGGTGGTCAGGTCCGCGATGAGTACCGGGAGGAATACGATCCTGGTCGCGGTGGCTATGGACGTGCCTATGCGGATGACCAGCGACGACGGGAGGAAGAGGAGTATGGTAAGGGTAAGTAAAACAGGGGAAGACAGACATATTCAGGTTGGCGCAAAAACGGCGTTTTCATATGTACAATCTATTTCTATCATTGCTAGAAAGGCATTCAAGAAAGAAAAATTTACATCAGATACCCCAATGCTATGCTCCATCGGCCATGATGTTGCTCGTCATGCGTGATGCGCTGCATGTCTTTTCTTCACTGATTCCTCGACCTGGCGCAGCCACCACGCGTGGATGCGGGCGTCGTCAGTCAGCTCCGGGTGGAAGCTTGTTCCAAAGACGTTCCCTTGGCGGACAGCAATGATGTCTCCCGTCTCGTCATCGGCGTTAATGGGCGTCCCCTCGCAGGCCAATCTCGCAGCCCGTCCGGGTAGAGCTGCTAGGACCTCCACACTATCTGCCATGGCCTGACGAGCGACCTCGTCTTCCGCCTGGCGCGCCGGTGCAATGACTGTCTCTTCGCGCTGAGCCTCGCCTACTTGTTCACCTTCTTGGTGAGGGAGGATTTTCTCCACGACGGGTGCGCGGATAAAGACGGCGGGGAAGGCGGGTTGATTAGCGCCCAGGAAGGGCAAGTCGAGAGGGGCCTGGAAACTCTCCGTCTGACGGCCAAAATGATTGCGGTTGACGCGCACGTCCAGCCCACCGATCAGATCCTGGCCACCCTTCTTTGTGCGGTTGGCCGACTCGGCGAGGAGGATCAGACCGGCGCAGGTACCCCAAGTAGGCCTCCGGTGGACCCTGAGATGGCAATTAGCATACACATAGAGCAACTGTGCAGAACACCGATCAGACATACTTGACAAAGTCTCGCAAAGGCTCCAAGAGGTTGGACCTGGCGGCAACAAGGGCCATGGTTGTGCTTTCACCTCCGGGCAGCACCAGCGCATCGCATCGCTCGAGTTCCTGCGGGGTGCGCACTTCGATGAAGTCCCATTGCGAGGCGGAACTGCGGTCTTTGGCGGGCAAATCGGCGGCCGCACTCTTCAGCAATTGGATATGTTCGTAGAAGGCGCCTTGCAAGGCGAGCACGCCGACGGTGATGCAGCCCATGGCGAAGTATAGGATCTGAGTGAGTGGCGGCAGCAACAGAACTATGACTCCAAACTCTCTATACTTTATTTGATGGGAGCAACGCCGCCTTATGTCAGCGGATCAATGTCGGACCGCTTATCACCACGTGCTGCCCCGCGTTCAGCCTCGGACATTTGGGGGCCATCATTAACATCATGAGTTCAATGTCTTTTTTGCTTTGCTGTGATAATACGCTGGTTGCGGTCTTTAACATAAGACTCCGAGATTCGTCATTGGCACAGTTTAATCTCAGAATGTATCAATGACCCTCGTGGAGAACTAACCCAACCCCTCACTTCACCTCATCTCATCTCCGCATAGACGCCCGATCTCCTCACATCAGCTACACCACTACATCTCAGTCAATTGAACACACCACCACCACAACAGCCTCATACCCAACCCAACCCACCCACAATGTCTACCTCATCCGACCCCAAACCCACCCTAGTCCGGTGGTACATCGACACTCGCCCCCTAACCGCCACCTCCAACGCCCTCCCCCTCCTCGACACCCTCCAACCCACCGAACAACAAGCCATCCAGAAATACTATCACTTGAAGGACAGACACATGTCCCTAGCCTCTAACCTACTTAAATACCTCTTCATCCACCGCACCTGCCGCATCCCCTGGTCCCAAATCACCATCAGCCGGACCCCAGCCCCGCATCATCGACCCTGCTTCATCCCATCCGCAGCAGTCCTCTCCGCCTCCAGCTCCTCAATCCCAACGGTCGAATTCAACGTCAGCCACCAGGACTCAATGGTCGCCTTAGCCGGCACTACCATCCCACCCAATGCCAAGAAAGAAGAAATCCAAGTAGGAATTGACATAACCAGCACAACGGAACACCTCCGCTCCCCGCGCAACCCGTCCCCTCCCACCCGGTCAGCCTTCCTGGAATACGTCTCCATCTTCACGGAGATATTCTCGGCGAGGGAACTATCTTTGATTAAATCGCTCACGCATCCTGTGTATCATTATCCGGTGTCGTCGACGGAGGGGGTGGTGTATAGTTATCGGGTGTTTTTTGCGTACTGGGCGCTTAAGGAGGCGTATATTAAGATGACGGGGGAGGCGTTGTTGGCGGAGTGGTTGAGGGAATTGGAGTTTTTGGATGTGAGGGTCCCGGATAAGGATGGGGAGGTGTATAGGAGGGTCAGGGTGGAGATGAACGGGAGGGAGGTCGGGGATGTTAGGGTTGAGGTGCAGGCGTTTGAAGGGGGGTATTTGGTTGCTACGGCGGCCAGAGGGGGAGGTGTTGGGAGGATAGAGGGAGAAGGGAAAGATGTGTGGGAGGGATTGAGGAGGTTGGATGTTGAGGGGGATGTTAGGGATTGTGCGGAGGGGAGGTGTGCTTGTTTGGAGTGAGATATCTATTTATTTAGCTATATGGGATGGTATATACGAGGGATGAGACTAGGTTGGTGCAGGTGTAGGTGTATGTGACGGTCTAAAAGCATTAAGAATATGCTCTATATACACTCTAGGAAAGAAGCCCATGGCCTCGTCATGCAATGGCCAGACAAACTCCAAGACAATGTCTTTTACTTTGACCCCCCGCCGCTTTCTCTCTACTGGATTATGTCCCTCCAGTCAGTTCTCGCCCCATCAACAGTTGTTGTCTCTAGCATACCCTAACCAGCCAGGGTATCCACGCTCTGTCTCGCCAATTCAAGCATTACTCGTGTCGTGCAATCGTAGAAGATGGGAATAACAATAGTCAGCCTGAGAAAGTTGATCTGTTTGCTCTCCCTACAGCTCCACAGCAGTGGACTTGCCATTAGCGGCAACCGTCGACTCCACCTCCTGGTCGTTCTTCTCGGCCAATTCGAGCAGGGTCTTGAGCATGGACTCGCGCGTGGATTTGGTCAGAGCGTCGATGTCGGCGGTCGTGAGACCTTCAGTGCTGATTGGGGGGAGGACTATATCCAGTTAGCATGCCATTCTATAGATCCACTTTCATGATTGGGGGAAGCTTACCCTTGATCTTGATCGTGCCCGGCTCGAACCTCATATTCCGCGGAGAGAGCACATGCGAGTAGTTCTCCGTAACGACCGGAACAATGGGCACACCCGCCTTCAGCGCCAGATGGAACGCGCCCTTCTTGAACGGCAACAGCTCCGGAGTATCAGAGTAGCTGCGCGTGCCCTCGGCGAAGATGAAGACACTCTGGCGATGGTTGCGCATTTCATCGGCAGCACTATCGAAGGCCTTGACGGCCGTTTCGCGGTTGGCACGGTCAATGAAGACGGTGCGAGAGAGGGCCATGAACCAGCCGAGGAAGGGAATATGTTTGAGGGACTTCTTGGCCGTCACGCTGCAGTACGGAGGGAAGATGTAGCCGAGCATGAGCACGTCCAGTTCGGACTGGTGGTTTCCAATGAAGACGGCGGGCCGGGTGTTCAGGTGTTCAGCGCCTTCGACGATGTTGAAGCGCACGCCGGTGGTGTAGCGCATGACCCACTTGAAACTGCGCGCGGTGGCCCATTGGGAGATGCGGCCGTAGCCAGCGATACGGAGCACAATTGAGGCTAGGACGCCGTAGGTGGCGCAGAGGAGAAGGGAGCCATAGGCGGCGAGACACCGGGCGACGAAGGCGGCGCGGGGGACTTTCTGGCCGAGGGCGAAGAGGGAGAGTGTGAAGACGACGAAGGAGCTGATGCCCGAGGCGACGTAGGAGAAGAGGGACATGGTGGTGGTTCTGAAGTGGGGAGAGAGTGCCGGCTGATCTGCATCAGGAACGGGTTAGAGGGGGACTTTATAGCCAAAGGGTGGGCTCGGGGCAAATCTAACCTGGGGTTCTCTGGGGAATGCGGGTTTGGGGATGACGAGGTCAGGCGAGAGGGCCGCAAAGACGGTGCATGACCCGGCGGTAGGGGTGGCGGGAAGGAGGGGGAGGAGGAAGCGGAGGTGAATTAGGAAGAGAGACGTCGGGGAGGAAGAGGAGGAGAGTGAGAGGAAGATTGAGAGAAACCTTGATTTAGGGGAAGAGGGAGGGAGATCTTCGCGGCATCCAGTGAATCCCAAACTCTTGTCTTTCGCTCAACGGATCTGGCGATAGATTTCCGCCGATTTCTGCCGCCTCACCGCCCGTTCGTCCGCCCAACGCCAGACAATAATTGTCAACACTCGTTTCATGAACTAGTATCATTGTTTTACAGTCGAGAAGACAAGTGGGTATCAATGTTGCTAATAATAGCTCGATTATGCAGCCTGCTCGGACAACAGTCTTCCAAGAAGATATGTTCAGCTCCGTCGTCCGGCCTCGTCCGTCCCAGCCTCCCACGCTAACATACAGAATCCAATCCAGATGCCTCGACCCTCACGAGGCCTAGATGCACGCAATGCCAGTTCTAACCAACCCACCGGCGAACGCCCTCGTAATGCTGATGCTGGTGCAAATTCAACCCAGAAAGAGAGAGAAAGAGAAAAGACAAACGCCGCTCCTCGCCAATAGGTTTCCAGGGTACAGATGGGTCCACTAGGACAGGAACCCGTTGAAGAAGTACACAGAGGAAGCAGGAAGAATAGTAAGAACAAGGGAGAAAGAAAATCATGCCATATCTTCGTCATCCTCTTCATCATCGTCCAGGGATTCCATGGCATCCTTGATGTATTGTGCCGCCTGAAGGAATTAGCTGGGTGCATTCGAGTTTGGCGGAGGGTGGGATGAGGGCTCCTAAACTTACCTTGGGATCCAAATTCAATGCGGTCGTGAAATGCTTGATAGCATTGGCCTTCTCATGCAACATCTTGTAGAGTTTACCCAGCAGATAATGCACGTTGGCCTCATCTGGTGCCATATCCTTAAGCACCTTCAGCTCGGTCAGCGCCAACTTCAGCTCCGAAAGCTTCATCAGTACGCGAGCCTTGCGGAAGCGAGCGAGAACCGAGTGAGGTGCCAGTTGACAGGCCCGCCCGTACTGAGCGAGGGCCCCGCGGGGGTTGTTCATCTTCTCCAATACCAGTCCGATGCAGCAGATGAGCACCGCATTCGTCGGATTGATGTTGGCCGCATTGCGGAAATGCTGTTCGGCAAACTCGAGCTTGCCCATCTTGTCGTATACCGTACCCAACCCATACCAGGCGTTATAATGGCGACTGTCAGCGCTAATTCCGTGTCGGTACGCATCGAGAGCCTTGTCGTACTCTTCATTGGCCACATATTCATGTCCTTGCAGAGTGAAACCGTATGCGAAATGAGGATCAAGTTGCGTGGCTCGCTTAAAGCATTTCAAAGCCTGGTCATGGTCCCGCTGGTGCGAAAATGAGTTGCCAACAGCGCACCAGGCCTGAGGCGAGAGACGGTCTGTTTCCATGAGCTCGTGCGCCAAATAGGCCAGCTCGACATCATTTTTTAAATGCCAGAGCACGGTTGAGTAGATTTCCATATCCTCCAGCCGAGACGGAGCCATGCTTTTCACCCGGACAAAGTATTTCTCGGCTTCGGAATACATCGCCTGTTCGTAGTATGCTCGTCCGATTTGCGACAGTACCCATGGGGTCTCTCTCTGGCCCTGCGACAAAGCCGCGAAGATCTGGGTAGCTTCAGCGCAACGATAGCGACACAACGCAAAGTATCCGGACGCCAGCTTCGAAAATAGCTCTAGCAGCCATGTCAATGCCTCCACAGCTTTAGACCGATCAAGCGAAGGTCCTCTCGAAGAAGTGTGGTGGGTCCCATTTGATGCCGATGTGCCTGGGCGGTGGTCCTTGGTCTCACCATCATGCGTGTCACCGATGTGTTTTCGATTGCCGCTGACGACTCGACCCACACTGGGAGCGGTTGTAGTTCGACCCTTCGCACCGGTAGCCCTGACCTTCTTCATTTCTCGGCCATCCTTCGTCCCCAGCGCGGAACTAGAAAGCTTGCTCGTAGTAGGCTTTATCTGGTTGAAAAGGCGGACGCTCCGTCGTTGCGGCGCGCCAGGTTCGGTGGGTTGCTGTGCAGAATGGGCAACTGATCCAGAGACAGTTCGCTTGCGGTCACCCACACGGACTCCGTGTGAGAGTTCTCGTTCCGTATAGGTTGTGGCCGGCTCATCGGGCTCAGGCTTGGTTCTGGTTCGGGGTCGGATACCCGTGGGCTTCATCTTTGGTGGGGAGTCCATGCCGTGATCGGCACTAATCGTCTGTATCGTTCGGTTCTTCCGTGCAGGCGCCAAGGGCGGCTCCAATGGCGCGTCTGTCCGGTGCATGGTGCGGTCGTCCGACTCACTGCTTTGGCCTCCAGGCGTTTCGGTCCCTTCTCGAAATGCCGGAACTGCTGATGTGCCGGTGGATGCCACGCTGACCGTGCTGCCATTGAGCTTTTCCCAGAGAGCGGAGCTCCCGTGGGTGCCGACTGCCTCAGTCCGAGACGTCAAAGATGTAAAGGGATCAGTGCTTGAGTTCAGTTTCGGTTGTGACTGCAAGGGACCTGCAGAATGTGCTGCCTTATCCGAAGACACATCTAAGTCATCTTGTGAGGAGGACGCTAACAAAGCGTTGAGTTCAGGTGTCATCTTGAAGATGTTGGGGACGCGGATATTGACCCCTTTGAACGATTAGCGACAGCATTCTCCCTATCCGCTTGCGATACTCACCGGTCTCACACAAGCCCAAGAAAGCGTCCCACATGAACGGGTTCAACTTGAGCGCGTCGACATAGCATTCAACAGCCGCATTCAGTTCATTATGCGCATAGAAGAGCTTGCCCTGTAGACACAGCACCGCTGCCGCATCGGGTAAATGTTGCCTGCGCGTCTCGCTGTGTTTTCCTGGAAACCGCGAAAAGAACATGTCAGTTGTGATCAGCCAAGAAAATTGGTCGCGTCCATTTGCGATAAGCGAGATAGTATAGAGAAATGCCTAACAAAGCGTACCCCAATGGTTCTTTGTGGACCATAGCCCTTTGCTGCGTTCCAACGCCGTGATGCCTTCAGGATATTTTCCCAGGTCCAAGCACGCCTGCGCGAACACATATGCGCAGCCCAGGTGAGTGCCTCGCCATCCAAAGTTCTTGCTGTAGTCGTATGCTGCTTTCACTTGACCACTCTGGAGATGGCATAAGGAGAGTAGATATGAAGATTCCGCTGCTCGGGGTTCGTAGGCGTGCAACCGACCGGCAAGGAAAAGCGCATTACGGACGAGGTTGTTATCAAGATGGTAGTATATTAATTGCCTAAGTTGGCTCGATATATGGGCGGTGGAGGGTGACATGTTGAGGTGTGGGATTCATTCAAGGAGAAGGGAGAGAGGAGGGGGGGCGATATTAGAGAGGCGCTGCAGGAGAGGAGGCGGTATTGATGTTCGTATTGGGAACGGCGCGAAGGGAGCTTGCGGAATCAAGGAACAGATGAGCGACAGGTGAGGTAGTTAATCTGTTAACACCGAACCAGCATGTGTGGAGTAGAGAAATATTCCAAGTGGATTGAAGAACACTAAGAAGTGTGAGGGGAGCGCCGCGTGAACCGGATTTAAGGCAACGACGACGTGGTGTTTCTTTCAACTGTATAGATAGGGAACAGAGAAAAAAAACTAGACTGTTAGATCATCAACACCTGTCAAAACAATAACCGGCGAAGTATATCGTCTGGCTAGTTTGCGCCCGATGGTTCGCAATGGGTTTTGTCTATATCTCCGCCACAGGTCAAACTAGTCGAGAGGGGGTGATTGCGAAGCTGTGGCAGAGAAGAGGGAAGGTGGATGACGTCCGGACAACTCGTGACGCCGTGCAGGCCCAGAAAAATGTCAAAGGGAGCCAAATCGCATGTCGCGACGAGCAGACAGCGAAAGCGGCAGACCAGATATACGCGGCAGAAGCCCAAAGCAGGCCGAGGGGCGAAGCGGCAAAGTCCGACAGAAGTCGTTGTTCACGACGCCTTTTTGGCGATGTTTTGGAGCAGCGAATCTGGCGGAGCGTGGCTGGTGAGAGGCGGAGAGCGGCTTGGCTGTGGTTGTGGTGGGCAACGCCATTCCCTATTCGCCATCATCTACTACAACTGTTCATTCCACCTTCAATCTATCGATCTATCTATTATCTAGACTACTAGACTACATCATCCCTCCCCGATCATGCAACTTGCTTATCGCTAATCAATTCATTCACTGAGCGGAGTCATCGCTCCCTGTCATTTCCACCACCCCTCCCCACTGCACCCTGACTTGCATCCGCACGCGACCTGCATCAATCATTATCATCGTCATCCGATCATACCGAATTAATCTCAACTTCAAAAATCACCACCACCACCACCACCACCACCAAACAACATGGCTCAAGTCCGTCCACCCCACCCCCTCCTTAATCTAAAACCCTCACATTCAACCAACTAATCTCCACCCCCACAGAAAGCCGCCAAAACCCTCGCCGCGCGCAACGCGTCCCTCCTCACCCGCACCCACCTCATCAGCTTCGCCCTACACTTCCTCTTCCTCGCTCTCCACTGGCTCTTCAACCGCCCTCGCTCTCTAACCCCCTACTTCACACTCGCCTTCCCGACCCTCATCATCGAATTCTACCTCGAACGGCTCGGCCGCCCGGTCTACAACCCCGCTGATGGATCCCTCCGCTCTCCCGGAGAGGATCTCGGCGCCGCAGGACTGACGGAATACATGTGGGACGTGCTGTACTGGACGTGGGGGTGCATTGGTGCTGCCTGCTTGTTTGGCGATCGTGCTTGGTGGTTGTGGATCGTCGTGCCGGTGTATTCGGTGTGGTTGGCGTACAGTACCTTTATGGGCATGAAGAGTGGGTTGGCGGGGATGGGTGGTGCTGGTGCGGGTGCTGGGCAGGAGCAAGGAGGTGCGGCGGAGAGTAAGAGGCAGAAGAAGATGGAGAAGAGGGGTGCCAGGGGGGTGCAGTATCGCTGATATGGTCTTGGGGGAGTGGGCTGTTGGTTGGTTCATTGAGTGGCCGTTTGGGGACGGTTTATGCATATATAATACGGATGGCTACGCATTGCGTGGTTTGGTGTCACCGTTGTTCTATGGTTGAGCAGATTGTATTTTAGTGTTTGTGAAGATAGATCGGATGCGAGATGAGCGCTTCCAAAAAGTAAAACTTTGGTGCCAGAGGGGCACAAATTTGATGAAGCACGAATGGCCGTTACAAGAATTGGGAAACAAAAACACAGCACATAGTACACAGCAAAAGTTAGAAAAAAGAAATTCTGGTGGTATAAGAGGTCGGATTGAAGCGGAATGGAAAATGCTATATCATGACGTACAAATCGTGGGGAAACTATGTGGGGAATATCATGGGCCGACCTGAGATGGTAAATCAAGCGAATAACAAGAATGTTTTGGGATATCAAATCATAAAGAATTGCCAAGCAACAGCCAACGCTGTCTGTCTGTCTTGTCTCAGGTTACAACTCCTCTGCAGTGCTGTCTTCGCTGGCTGGGGTTGTTTCGGGGATGATGGTTTCCTCGGCCTCGTCAGATACAACATTGCTGGTAGTGGAAGCAGAAGTTGCCGAGTGCGATTCGGCGTTATCCATGGATGGATCCTCCTCGACCTCGATCTCGTCGGGGAGTGACTCGTGGGAGTCTTGTGCCTCGTCGCTGCTATCCTCGTCATCGGCGATAGCACTATACTCGAAGACCTCTTCAGATGGTGCATCCGAGGCGTTATCAGTTTCCTGGAGAGGTTCTTCTTCGGCTATGGGGATATTCGAAGCATCTGCATCGACATCACTAACGTCCTCAGAGGTGTCATCAGAGGCGTCGTCAGATAACACAGAGGGCTCTGGTGTTGGCTGTGGGGTCCCGTAAATTGAGTGCAGTTTGTTCATGATTTCTTCAGCGTAGGCAGAGTCTTTGTCCACGAGTAGACCCGAGACGAGATCCGCGACAGCTTGTTGTTGCTCGGACGACAATGGACGACCAGAAGCCTGTGGTGTTTCTTCTTCCGACGGGATTCTCACATCAGCTGCGGCTACTCCCCATGCTGCTTTTAACTCGTCGGCATCCTGAGTCTCGGCTGCCTGGTCCTGTTCATCGCCCGAAAAGCCAGTCGATTCGTAGTTTGAAGGCAATCCACCGTTGCCCTGGGGAGAAGCGTGTTCCTCATCAGTTGCCATACTCTCTTCCTCGCCGTCGGGTCCGTCATTTGCAACCCGGGAGGCGGCATCATACGCAAAGACAGTCCCATCCGGACGCTCAGCATCGGCTGCCTCATTTGCCGGTGCATTTTCATCTGCAATAGGCTCGGGGGTACGGCTGGGCTTAGGCAATGCAGGCGGAGGCTCGGATCTGGTGTCAAAGTCATCACTCGCTTCCCTGGCGGCGATCTTCCACTTGCCGACGTCTCTCAGCCGGGTTAGCTCCTTGGCGGCAGCCTCAGCAATCTCCATTCCATGCGACAGGATCTCGTCCGCTACTGCTCGCGCTTCCTCAAGCTTCGCATGCTGAAGGCCAAATTCCAAAAACTCATCTTTCCATTCCTCGAACTGTGCCTTCAATGCATGGTACCTAGCCCAATCCTTGTAGGTGACACCTTCCATCCAGGCCCAACGCATGCCGACCTCTTGAAGTCCAAGATCGCGGACGCTATCCAGGACATCGAGTGTAGAGTTGATTGCAAAAGAAACGCGCCTTGTAAGCTCTTGGTCGAAGGAATTGCGCCATTCTCGAAGGGCGTGAGCACGGTCCCGGATAGACACTGCGGCTTCTTTGATGTTTCCGAAAAGCTCGTTTGTCGCTGCCTGCTCCTCTTGGGGCACGTCTTCTTTTGGCAAAGACTCGGCGAGGCTGTTAATATGACGCTTGAGAGCTATAAGCTCGTTGTCAACAACAGCCTCCAATGCGGTCGCCAAGCTTTCTCCATGTGCGCGTACGCCACTCCCAATGAACCCGTTGACTATCTCTTGCAAGCGCTCTTCAAGGTCCTCGAGGCCCTTCTCTGCAGCAACAGCAAACTTTTGTTGCCAGGTGTGCAGGTCAGTCTCAATACTATTGCGCGCGTTCGCAGCTTGTTCTGTAGGCGACAGCGTAGGCGTTGCGGTGGCTTGCTCGGTTGTGGACGACGTCGTCAAGTCGTCCACCTCGGTAGCTTTTGGTGCAGTGAGAAAAGATGCTTGTTGAGATGCACTGTAAATGACAAATCAACACATGAACCATATCTATTACAGCAACGAAAACCTACCTCTCCACTTCCTCTGCAACCTGTCGCAGCCTCTTCTCTTCACGGTAACTTGCTAATCTTTCTCCGATCTTAACTAGCTGCGGTTCGACGTTCTCAGAGTAGACTCCGGTGACTCTGGGCCATAATGTGCTGTGAATGAAATAGATAGCCGCTGACCATGAGTTTTGCGCATAAGGAAGTACGGTTGTTGTGAGCATATCCTGCCCGGTTGTATAGGTCTTGCCAATGAAAGGCCTATATTTTGCGCCGAAGGGGAGAAGGTAGTCTCCGTATGCCGACTTGATCGCGCCGTTGGCTTTGTGGAAGGATGGCGACAAAGCCGCCTCAACGCTTTGCACATGGGGATATACTTGAGACTGATACAGGCCATTGGCTCTGTCCTTAGCGGACTGCAAATGTGGGACGACAATAGTCTCCCACTGCTGCTGGCCATAAAGCTGGGCTCTATCCAAAGCGGGCGCACCGTATCTCTCATACCCGTGCTTGACGACACGCGAAGTAGGCGCGTACACTTTCTCATTGAGAACCTGCACGTACGGGCGCACTGTCTCGACATATGGCGCGCCATAAGCGTCATAATACGGCATCACATGGGGCTCGACATAGGAGCGAGCAACAAGGTATGGCTTGCATACTCGCGGCGAAGAATCCGTAAGGTCGGAGAGCTGAGAAGGGCAGCGCAGGAATGGCGTGAGAAGAGCATACCAGATACAAAGCCTGTCAAGTTGATCGTCAGATTAGCAACGGTTCAACGCCATAACGCGGTGGACCGAAGATCCCGGTCTAGATTTCTGAGTGAGACTTACCGCACCACCAGCCCAACTGTCCACCGGATAGTTCCTCGTTTGCTTGACTTTGAAGCGCTGCTCCTGGATTTTATTATCCGATCGGCCCCATCCGGGACATTGCTATTATCCGGAACGGTCATCATAAGTTGTTCCCGTTGTCAACGGGGGTGCCGCTCGCTTCGAGTCCGGCGGGCAGAAAACTGAAACTCGCGTCGCGTGTCCAATTCGACGAAGATAGTATATGAATGAGCCAAAGATGATGAAGCCTAGACTATCTCCTGAGCCTTCCGGAAATTCGGACAAACTAAAGGGCCCAGTCGACTTTGGGAGGGGGGAAGATGAAAGGGTCTTAGCAACGTTTTTCCGGAATCACAAGCTGGGATCCTCGAAGCGCACGCGACGATCAATTCCCGTCTCCGTCTTGGCGCCGTCGAGTTTTAGAGGGGTGATACCAGTCTGTATCCTGACGGGCAAGGAACAGGCAGTGTTACGGTATATATCTAGAACGGAGGGTAAGCGAGGTTGCATGAATGACGAGAGATAGAGTGGGTGTTCTGTCGATCACCAGAGTAGATCTCCAGTTGTCAACAACACCTCGCTGGATTCAAGGAACAACAACAATTGCCATAGTAAATAGCCTTTATTGTAAGGAACTGTGAGGTCATCGGTTCTTCGGGGGCACTTGACATTACCGTCTTACAGAACCTGACGTGCAGATCTGCAACGATGCAGGCAATTGGGCGGCCCCTCACCGCCCCTAGCGGTACTATACCGTAATATCACATGACCGAGGCATAGAGGGCCTTGTGCTGATTCAGCATATGTTGGGGGGGATCAATCAGTTCAACTGAACCACAGCTTTGGCTGGTCTTTTGCCTTTCCACCGACTGCTTTGCGTCTTGCCACATACGCCTCTTACGGAAACCCGCCTATGGTTGGACACTGACGTGTATTTTCTTCTAGCAGCACTATTTGAACGTCTCGTTAGAAGAGGATTGTATCAAATTGCGAGAGAATCCCCTGGCGCAGTGTCTCCGTTCCACCATCTCTCTTTCTCGGTTCACACGTACCTGTTCGCGGTGCTACAAGCCTTTCCGAACATGATATCTGATTGCCGCTGCTGAAGACGATAAGCTCGTCGAGTCGACGTTGATTGCGCAAAATGGAGTTCCCCGAGGGCTCATCCCGGGATTATACCCATTCCACCTCCTTCCCCGACCTGATGAATGACCCGGCCTATCAGACGAACTATAAGGGGAAGGAGAGGGAGTTTGAAGAGCCAGACACTTGTCGCATATGCCGTGGTGAGGGTACCGAGGAGGAACAACTATTCTATCCATGCAAATGTAGCGGAAGTATCAAGTTCGTTCACCAGGCATGTCTGGTAGAATGGCTGTCCCACTCTCAGAAGAAGCATTGCGAACTCTGCAAAACGCCCTTCCGGTTTACGAAGTTATACGATCCCAATATGCCCCAAAATCTCCCCGCTCCGCTTTTCCTCCGACAGCTACTAATCCATAGTTTTCGTACTATTGTCACATGGCTGCGGTTTGTACTCGTCGCCTTCGTCTGGCTTGGGTGGCTGCCATGGTCGATGAGGGCAATTTGGAGAGCTCTATTCTGGCTGGCTGATGGCCGCTGGTCGGGCGCGGACGATCCCCAACCATCTTCATCCGATCATCTAGCCCAGGTTGTAGCAAATGGAACGGCTGCCATGGGTGTGAGCGCAGCTACCAGCGCATTAGCAGGAGCATCAGACGCACCAGCCGTGCAGTCACCGGTATCATCCATGTTCAGTTTCTCATCAGGCGAGCCGCTACTTCTCACAGTCATCAAGAAAGCTTTTTCCGCCTTGTTTTTCCCCGCAATGTCGGGTACCGGTTCGTTGAGCATCAGCCCTACGAATGTGACAGCCGGATCATACAAGCCTCGGCGCCCATCGTGGCTCTCCGACGTGGAGTTTCTAAACACCTTAACACCATCGCCCACGATTAATAACATCCTTATTGATACATTAGAAGGTCAACTAATAACGTTATTGGTTGTCATCTCGTTTATTCTCATCTTCCTCATCCGCGAGTGGGTTGTTCAACAACAGCCCATGGCCAATATCGCAGAGGGTGAGCGGGAAGCTGCCGTCCAGCTGATTGCGAATAACCGTCCAGTACAGCGCCCTGAAGAGGTACAGCCAGAGTTACGCGCCCCTGAGCCAGAGGAAGTACCCCGCGATGAAAGTACTCATGAACATGTCGAGGATATCTCCAATCGCGCAGAAGAAGGACAGCTTGCCTCTCTGGCGGAGTCTGATTCGTATCGTGTGCATTCCTCATTCCGCGATGGTGGCTCAATCAGTTCCAGTGACTCGGATATGCAGGGACCTAGTACATCCCAGCATATGTTCCGGCGTAATAGCGACAGTGAGGATGAATTGAACCCTTTGTCCCTAGAGCACTCGACCTCCCACGGCAACCAGGTCTGGCCTGGGGTGGAAACGTTTAGGGATCTCTGGGCGCGTGGCCATGGTGATCCCGAGCAGGTCCTCAGGCTCGTACGAGAGGAAGGGCGCCAGGATGAGCTGGGCTGGATCGTCACGGCAATGACCAAGCTTCAACGGAACGACACCCTGCGTGGTTCTTGGAGGCGCGAGTCACCTCTCCATGAGGCTGCTAGCTCGGATTCCTTTGCCGATCAGACGGAGATGCACAGTGAACCCAGTTCAGCACGATCGCCACTGTTGGAACCCTCGTCATCAGCGGCCAACCGTCATCCCTGGGATATCGCTTCTGCGTCCAATGCGCTGGGGACTGACGCGAGTGACGATCGGCAAGACCGTGAATCTACTCACGGTGGTTTCGGCTCTAGCCTCCGTGCTGTAGGTGACTCTGAAGTACCGTCCGATTCGACACCTTCCGCCGATACTGGCATTCAATCCGATCAGGTTCCGAGCGCCTCAGCTTCGGCCAACGCGGTAACATCGAATGCCGAAGGGGCCTCGGAAAGTGCTGGAGCTATGCCACAGAATGATCAAGCAGCGCCGGTTCCTCCCAAGAACTTGGTTGCCAGACTCTTCGATTGGTTTTGGGCTGATCTTGAAACTCCTGATCAAGGTCAAGATCGTCCGCAAGAGGATGATGATCACGTAGTCGCGGACCCTGCTTTGGAGGCGCCGTTCGTGCCCATTCAGAATAACAGACGCCTTGCCAACGAAGCCGCACCGAACAACCAAGCAATCGCCCCAGATTTTGGTCTTGATGCAAATGACGCTGATGCAGTCGAGGAGGGAGATGACTTGGAGGGCATTCTGGAGCTCATTGGCATGCAAGGTCCGATTTTTGGCCTTCTGCAGAATGGAGTGTTCAGCGCACTCTTGATCTCGTTTACCGTGGCAATTGGCATCTGGCTTCCCTATCTCTGGGGCAAAATTGCCCTTGTACTTCTCGCAAACCCCGTACAACTGGTCTTCGGTGTTCCCATGACTGCCATATCTGTTTTCGCAGATGTAGCGCTGGACACTCTTATCGGTAGCTTGGGCTACGTTATGTACTGGCTCAGCCTCATTTGCAAAGTGTTGCTCAGTCCTTTCGGTGCTTTTGTTCCACTGGGCGAATGGATTCCGCAGACCAAGTCCGTCACCAGTGCCTCATTGTCCCTCATCGACGCCAGTAGTCACCGACTACGAAATGTTTTGCAGGCTTTCTTTGTCTTCCACGAATCCGATGTGCCTATGTTTTCGGTTCTTTCCCATCAAGCTCTAAAGATCCACCAAGCGCGTGTCGCAGCCTTGGCTCATTCAGCCTTCACCGTCGGCAAATTCATCTTGCATGACTTCCCCCTTCGAATTGTATCTCATGGACCCGTGGGTGCCTTTGCAATCGAGAATGGCTTTGAAGGCTTGGCCCAACTGCTAGTCCAGACACGGGACCAGCTCTACGACCTTGCCCATCAGTTGCTGTATACCTCGAAGGGCACAAGCTGGTTTGGTTCAAGTGTGAGTGGTCCGGCTTCGGCGGGCATCACCATCAGTTATGATCTAGCTGTTTGGGATACCAAAGATCGCGTCATCGCTATCTTTATGGGCTACCTTCTTGCGTCGGCCCTTGGGCTTCTGTACCTGCGTTTGACCAATATGCTTTCTGGTGGCGAACGTGGACAGAGAGTCGAAGGTATTGTCGCCGACATCCTTCACCAAGCAGGTGGAGTGATGAAGGTTATTCTCATCATCGGTATCGAAATGATTGTGTTCCCATTGTATTGTGGCTCGCTACTCGATGTTGCACTGTTGCCTCTCTTCGAGAACGCCACGATTGCCTCGCGTTTAGAATTCACCTCCTCATCTCCCCTTACGTCTCTATTTGTGCACTGGTTCATTGGAACGTGTTATATGTTCCATTTTGCCCTTTTCGTATCCATGTGCAGGAAGATAATGAGGAGCGGTGTGCTTTGTAAGTTTTACCGTGGTTCTTGCCCCAAGCTTCTGCTAATATCCATGGCTAGACTTTATTCGCGATCCAGATGATCCGACATTTCATCCGGTGCGAGATGTTCTGGAGCGCAATATCACTACGCAGCTGCGGAAGATTGCATTTAGTGCCCTTGTGTATGGCGCCCTGGTCATTGTCTGCCTGGGTGGTGTCGTATGGGGAATCTACTACGCCTTCGACGGTGTGCTTCCTGTGCATTGGTCCGCTACTATCCCTGTCTTGGAATTTCCCGTGGACTTGTTGTTCTACAATTTCGTCATGCCGCTTGCCATTCAGTCGATCAAGCCATCGGACGGTCTTCATAATCTTTATGACTGGTGGTTCCACAAGTGCGCTCGCTTCCTGCGCCTAACCAACTTTTTCTTTGGCGAGAGGCAAGTTGACGAAGAGGGTTATCATGCTCGTCGGACTTGGTGGGATATCTTGTCAGCAGCCAAGGGAGATCCGGAACATCCGGTGGTTGATGGACATCCGCAAAATGACGACAGTGAGAAGCCCGGTGTTTACTTCGCTCGTGATGGACGATTCGTACGGGCACCTGCTTCGGATCAAGTCCGCATCCCCAAAGGCAGTCAAGTGTTCCTTGAGGTGACCGAGTCCAACCAGCGGGTTGACGGGGCACCAGATACGGATCAGGGTCTCCATGGCCGGGCCAATGAGATGTTCACTAAAGTTTACATTCCACCACGCTTTCGGACTCGCATTGCAGCCTTCATCCTACTGATCTGGGTGTTTGCTGCTGCCACGGGTGTAGGCATCACCGTTGTTCCTTTGA